CTCATCAGTCTGCTGAATTCATTTTTAGAAAGTTATAAATCCAGAAAAAACAGTTGTATATTTTTCTAGAAATCTGTACAATAGTCCCTAAAAAATCTTTTCTATGCATGGAAAATAACCTCAAGACCAGTTCTACAGATATTAAGTTTAGGCTGTTAATAACCATTCCCAATAATTAGCAATATACATTTTGAGAGATGGAATAGAAAAATACTCCAATACTCCATGCAATTTAGTGAATTAAAACATGACAACAAAAGCACTTATAATGTAATTTCATGGTTTTAAGATGTATGTGTGAGAAAGATTTATCACAGGAAGCCTACTTTTACATTTCCTACATGAAATCCCAAGAAACTACTCTGAAATCACGGAGATGCTATGAATGCAGGCAACAGTAAATAATTTCTGTCCACAATAGCTATGGGCTGAAATCAAGCCAGTTAGCAGGAGAAAGATACTATTTCCTGTTTGCAAACTTTCTTCTCAGCAAAACAGGTAATTCTCAGCATCTCAGGAGACTCCAGCACTGGGCACACTGTGAGCAGACGCTGGTTTACAGTCAGTCGCAGGCTGCACTTGGCTATAGGACAGTACGGGGAGACATAAAACACTGAAGTTTTATATTTGAATACAGATAAAGCTGGAAGGTGGGGGCAATAGCAGCAGAAATTAATTATGTGTCAGATACTCTATAAGCACCTTACTGTTGACCCTCATTTTTATCTATGAAGTAGGTAATACTATTATTCCCATTTACAGATGAGAAAATTGAGACTGAGAGAATTTCATTTACTTGCCCAGAGAAGGTGACTTGACCATCATACTCTTCAGCTTCCCAGTTAAATTTGTCCTCTCTCTAATTTTCTGTCCTTTTAAAGGTTATATTTATGACTATGAATATACACATTTTCTATATTTATAGCAAATGTTGAGGACCCAATCAGTAGATTGAACCATAGCAGTTGTCAGGCCAAGATAAATCCATTTCAAAACCAAACTGGAAATTTTGTTTGAAGAAGGCAGTGGAAGGAACAAAAGTGTGTGCTGGGAAGGAGGAAGGGTTTGTAGGGATGGACACATACATTTTCTCTTCTCTAAACAATTTGAAAAAGAGCCAGCAGAGACGAACTTGGCCTTTATTTTTCATGAGCACATAGATAATCATATCTTCTGTGTTCTCACCAACAGACATCTCCAGCGCACCTCCCACCCTTTGTTCACCTTTGCTGCTGTCAGTGGCAATCACCACCTTCCATTCCTCACACTTCATACCTTTATTTCCATTCAGTCACACATCTCCAAAGAACGTAGTTAGGAAGGGGAAAAAAAAAAAAAAAACACTACACAAATAAATCTACAAGTAAATTGCCCCAGCCTCTCCATCACTTGTCAGCCCCCCCTCTATAAAAATTCTGGAGGAACTACTACCTTCACTAATTTTCTATTATACTTAGTACAAAACAAACATTTAGACATCAATCTTTTATTCAAATTCTTATTGTAATTACTAGATATAACTGAAAACCTGTATTCCTCAAGTAACAACTTCCTTTTCAAACCTTCTTCTCTAGAGGAAGTCGATATATTTCCCTTTGCTCAGGGAGTTAAGAGGAATAAGTGCACTCTCACTCCCCACCGGCATTTCTAGAACACTGGATATAACTATTCCCCAACATCACCTGGAATTTATGCCAATTTCTATTTCCAACGTTAGGTCCTCCTTGATACTCGCCTCTAGAAAAATTTCTCCTCCCTATGTCTCATGCCACTTAATTTTTATATCAAGTCAACAAAGTTGAGAGTAGACAGGATATATTTATACAACAAACTCCCACAGTCTAAACCCCAATCATTGTTAGGGTGCGTGTTTGTGTGCAGCTGGGGAATAGGAGATTAATACTGGTGCTAAGAAGTAGGTGAAAAGCAGGAACACCTGAGAAGGTGACCCAGAAAATGACTACACAGTAAGGTCTCTGAAGTAAAATGAGGAAAAATTTTCCAGGTAAAATCAAGACGTAAGCAGCAGAAGCACATCTGGCACTGAGAACCTGGTCCAACAGCAAAGACAAACTATTTTTCCACTAGAAACTCTAAAATGTGCAAAATATAAACTGCCAATTTTTAGGCATTAATCATGGCTTTCCATTTTTAAAAGCCATCAGCTCAGCAGACAATGAAACATGCTCTCAGAATTAAGAACTTTCTCATCCTCCACTAACTCCTATCCTTTCAGGGCAAGTGCAAGTTTGATAAAGATATGCATATCCTCAAGTAAAACTTGTGCCCTGATGAGGTCTTCTGCCTGACAGATAATTTTCAGATTTAGAATTAGCCACACATTTCTGTAATCCTGCATCAAGAGTGCTTTGCACACAAAAGGAAAAAAAAGTCTGCTGAATTTACTAAGTGAATTCAATTATGAACACCTTTCTGGAAGGCAAGAGTCTTGATAACAAAAGACTAATTCTAACAAAGGTTTGGAAATCCAAATAAAGGAAAAGAACATGTGTGTGAAATCTAAGTAAAAATATCAGATATAACAAGTTTGAAAATTATTGAAACCAGGTGATGGAATCATGAGGGTTCATTATACTAATCTCTCTACTTTTGTGTAAGTTTGAAAATGTGCATAATTTAAAAGTTAAAAAAATTAAAATATAAATAAATTTAGGAAAGCTCTCAGAATTTCATATGCCTTCATTGACAATGAGATGGGCTAAAACATAGGTTGAGTATGTCTAATACCTGCACAGAACACGAATGAGTAGAAATGAGAGGGACTAAAAGTAAAACACAAAACAAGATCTTGTTTAGTGAGGCCAGGTTAAGCCAGTCTTCTTCCCAGCATAATTTCAAAAGTTAGTTCACTGGGCTGAGGAAGGCAGGACAACATGGAACTACCCTGACTGATAGTTTGTATAAAAGGTAACAGCCATTGCAAGGAGAACACTCTATGGTACTCATTTCTTCTCCTTGATTAAGTAAAATGGGGAACCGGGTGGTGGTAGGATTAAAATCTCTGCCTGGTGCATTCCATTCACTTCCAGTGTGCTTGACGTGATCTATACCATCAGACACTTGCAGTTTTATGAGCTCAGTGACTCATCCCTGAGATTTGCAGAATACTATTTAGCTTAAGATCATTTTATTCTTCTGAAGAAGAAGTACAGAAGGAGAATGAGAAGAGTGATCTCTTTTAGGGACAAACTTATAAGCAGAAAAACACAAATTACAAAATAGTAACAAAACTTTCACCAAAGTACAGGAGCCATAAGTTAATGGTACTTTCCTTTGATAACCAACCTATATTGTAAGGCAAAAATAACACTTCTGAGTCTGATTATCCCCCTCAAATCTCAAAGATGTAACTTCTACTTTTATAATAACAAATATTGATATTATATGGGAGGAGGGTAGCATATTATTAAAAATGTGTACACTTAATCACAGCAAAAGAATTTCCCCCTACACAACACAAAGAGAATTTCATTATAAGATACATGAGATTAAAATTATTTAAAAAGAAACAAGAGAGGTGAGATATAGTAATTCACATCTCAAATAGAAAGTATTTTAAAATATTTTTCATGAATATTAATAACACCAGTAATTAGCACTTAAACATTTTCCAACAATAGACATAATTTTCACAGAATAGCCACAGACTTAACACTAGGAATGAGATAATAGTCATCATAAGGTATATTTTTATGTTTCAGTGGGTGTTAATATTTATAGTGTTTAACATCAAAAGAGTCTGTGTACCTTGTATACATGATACTGTAAGTTATAATTTTCAGAAGCATATGAAATAAACATGAAAAATTTCTCAGATGCATTGTAAGTAATCACTATGTTTTGAAATCAATTTTAAATTACAGACAAACCAGAATGTAACGCTAAGATAATATTAATCAGAAAATCATAAAAACCTACCTTAAAGAATAAATAAAAATGTTTGAGAAAAATGAGCATAACTCCATAGCAAACAAACTAATGACACTTAAATTTTCAGAAATAGGTAAATTTTAAAACATACCTTAAAATACTCATGGCATAAGTATACCTTTAAATGTGTACTTACAAATTGTAAAATAAGTGGTAAAATCACTGTGATTGTAAAATTTTACTTGTCATTAAACTGTGATCAATATTAAACCCAAACACACAACTCCTTGAGAGAGCAAGGACAGCAGATCCAAAGCAGTGCAGGGAGAGTATCTGCTATGTCATCCCTACCCCAGGGCAGATACCAGGAACTGATCACTGCACTCTTCTTCCCTGGTCTAATACAAACCCTCATATTCATTTTCAAAAAGAACACTGCAGATAGCTATTACCAACAGACCACAGATGAAATACCAAATAAAACCTGTCATTTCCACATGTTCATAATGGTAAAAAGGAGAATAAAATAGTATTAAAAAAAAAAAAACCTGTCATCTATCCCTAATCTAGGATTTTAGTGATCTGAAACATTTAAACGGATTTGTAGGCAATCATTTTAAAATCAGAAATGGTTATGCTTTCATATTATTTAGAATTCACTTAATCAGAAATGGATTCCAATAAATTTTTCACTTCAAAGACAGGGTCTATAATGAAACAACGACCACAAAACTCGATAAACACAATGACAAACCGAAGTCCATGAGTAAGAAATAATGGGATATGCTGTTCTGGGGGATTTTTTTGGATATGCTATTTTCTTTTGAGAAAAGAAAGCATACTCTTTCTCCCAAGAGTATGTTTTGAGAGTTGACAATGAACATACTCCGGCAATAATGAGAATAATGATAAAACAGAAAAATGAATACCCTTTTCAATATACACAATGCATGTTCTCTTTCTCCACTCATTAAAGAAAAGGAATGATCTAAGGCACTAAGGATCTTGAATTTCCCATCAAGGGTCTAGACATTTTTGTAACCAACAAGAAAATAAGAAGTAAATGACTGATTAATGGAATTAGAAAAGATACCAAATTTAATACTTACTTTTGCAAAGGCTTCAAAAATGTCAAAGGAAGGTGGCAGCTGAGAAGCATCCTGTATTTCTTCTCTCAAGAAATGTTGAAATGTCATTGCAAGTTGCCTGAGGCCCTCTTTTTTATCTTCAGTCAGTTTGTTAATATCTTTTTTAAAGAGAAAATAAATAACACAATCATGAAGTGAACTTTTAATAGATGATTTTCAAGTGTTCAATGTCAGCTGTTAAACCAGATATTTCCTGCCTTACATTCTATTCTGACAGAGAGCAAATACGTATCTTTCTATCTTCTGACAACTACCATTCATGATACATATGTTATCAAGTAAATTCTGCCAAACTTTATCTGCAATGTAAGATCAAACACCTATCAAAAAAATAAATGTGCATACAGATGAAAAGGCATTAAAACCAAAATCAGTAAGGTAGTATGTTATCAGATTTTCTATATCATCCTGTACACACATACAAATCATTATAAATTCTTATTAAGTCAGTGAATTTAAGCAGACTCTTCCATGAGATAATTTACAACCAGGTCATGACTGACAAACTGAATCATCTCAAAGGTAAAAAAGACAAAAAATGAAAACTAAAATGTTCAGATAAAGTTCAAATAGGTGAAATTTGTCATATAGAAAGTACATCATGAAGCAAACATGGATTAACCAAAGAAATCTCAACTTTAAAGTAAAATGAAGAAAATATGGTGCTGCTTCAACCCAAACAAGGGGAGATGGCTCTAAAGCTAATATAACCCCCTTAAAAATCAGTTTAAATTACATTACAAATAGGGTGGTTAAAGCTAAGGTTGCACAATTCAATTAACAACATTTGAGAGTATTTCACTTAAGGTAGTGTGTAAGACACTGCTACTGAGCAAGACTAATGTTAGTAGTAAAACTCACTGCAAGAGATGCTAATTACCTAACAGTAATATAATAAGAAAAAATGACTAATCTATTCTCTATTAAAACTTGAAAAGATACATCAAGTTGAACTATGGCATAACTCTGTTGCTCATATCAGGTATACATATTTTCTTTAAATTACTTGTTTAATAGAATAATTAACCTGATGATTTCTTAATAACAATTTATTAATACTGGCACTTAGGATTCCATAACCATAAATCTGTATTAGACGATCTTATTTGCCTCCATCCAAAAGTATTAAACTGTGTACAAATTTACTCTATGAGGTCATTTACAACCTCAGTGGAAAAACACTAATAGAATCTGCTCTTTAAAAGAATCCTATATGAGCTCTGTTATGAAGCAAAAAATAAAATAAAATGTTTTATAAAATATTATATGACTTCCTAATTTCTTAGTATCGGTAACAGCAAAGTAGGAACAGCTGTCAAATATTGGAATGGAGTGGAACAGAATTTGAAATCAGATTGACATGGGTTTCAGCCCTATTTTTGACACTTGCTGGTAGAATACAGTCACTATCTCAGGTTTGAATAAAGAACTGCCGGACATCCCTCAGGAACATATGAGGGTGAACCAGAGGATGAGAAAGCCTCCAATCTACAATGTTACTTCCATTTGGTTTCATCTTAGCAAAGAAAGTGTTACTAAGCCAGGCACAGGGGCTCATGCTTATAGTCCCAGCACTTCGGGAGGCCGAAGTGGGAAGATCACTTGAGGCCAAGAGTTTGAGACCAGCCCAGGCAACATAGGAAGGCCCATGTAGAGAGTCTCTACAAAACACAGAAAAATTAGCTGGACGCGGTGGTGAATACATGTAGTCCCTGATACTCAGGAAGCTGAGGAAGGAGGATCACCTGAGCCCTGGAGTTTAAGGTTGCAGTGAGCTATGATTACACCACACACTTCAGCCCGGCCAACAGAGCAAGACTCTGTCTCTTAAAACAAACAACAAACAAAAAGACTTCCAGGTTGCTGAACACATGGAGGTGCTAGAGAGTGGTGTGTTCAGAAAGGGCATGGAAGCTCCCCCCTTCATACCATGCCCTGTGCATCTCTTCATCTGGCCATTCATCTGTATCCTTCAAAATATCTAAGGTATCTTACATCTATTATACAATATGATGACTATAATTAATAACAATGTATTGTATACTTGAAATTTGCCAAAAGAATAGATTTTAAGTGTTCTTACCACAAATAAATGATAAAAAATTCTTTTAAAAATAATAAAGTATCTCACAAGTCCAAAAATAAAGGATCTGCGCCAATATGAAAGCAAAATGAAGCCTACATTGGCTTAACACTCAGATCTGGAAAGCCTTTTAGTCATCCCAAAAAGCTGGGCTACTGCCATGGAAGTTCAGGAGAATTGTAACAACACTCAACAAGTCATCTGTACTTTCCTTAACATCTAAAGGACCAGTAACCCTAAAAGCTCCCTAGAAACCCCTTACCTTCCCCCATTTACCGCATTACTCTTCTCTGACATCAAAAAGAAACCAGGAGAGGAAACTGAGTGAGGAAAGAAAGGAAAGAGAGAGAGAGAAACAGAAGAAAAATTATTTTGTCAACTGGACTAATGGTTATACTGCCTAAACTGGACATCGTTTATGGGATTTTATAAACCCATATATTACCAAAGCTATCATGAAATAAATTAAATAAACTAATATGTCAGTTGTATATATATTTTTTAAAGTTTTATTAGGTTTGTCTCACATAATAAAAAAAAAAACAGAAAAACAGAGTTAGAAATAAATCAGTTCACCAGCTCAGCAAACAAATGATAGGAATTTTTTTAAGTGCTGATAGACAATCACTTACTTGACTCCAGGTCATAAAATGAGTAAAGTTTCTCCGATTCTGATGGTGTTTGTTCCATCTGTAAAGGAAAGAGGGAAAAATCCAATAACAGTTTCAAAGGCTTCAATAGATAAATGAGTATATTAAAGTATCTTTAGATATTTAAATGAAAGTCTATCAAAAAGACCATTTCCTATATATTCTTTCTCTTCATTACTCTTATTAGAGTTGAATTATTTAATAGCAACTTAAATAACAACTTTAAAATAAAAATCTAACTTGTACCTTACTTCACCAGTTTAATTTCCAAATGCAAAACTCTTTTTACAAGAAGTGTCCATACTTTTACATTCTTAAAGGCCTCTATAAAATTTTATACTGACAAAAAAAGTCAATAAACAATAGGAAAGAACAGAGCCTGAAATAATTTGACAAAGATAGTCATATGAAAGCCTGGCAAAAACTGGCAACCTTCACCAGAGCAGTATGTCATAGACTCTACTGTAAACTGTTTCGGCACTGTATGAAAAAGGGCTGAAGAAATCATTTCAATGGATTCCAGCTACAACAAAAAAAAAAAGGATAAGCATTCTTCATTTAATATTAATTATGATCTAGTTAGTATCTACTTGAAGAGGCAACCAAAAAAATGACACACTTTATCCTGTGCATTGATTCACAGTAGAAAAGTTATAAAGACAATGTAACAGAAATTACTAACATCTTAAACATCTTAAACCCCAAATATAGGACCTCCTATCTGTATTCCCAGAAGCAGATCACAGGGCCTTCAAAAAGGGGCTGTGCACTTCTTCCCTGCCGCTGATTCCATGATTAACAGGAAAGTAATCAGCTTTCTGTCTGGATTATTCCGCCTTCCAGATACATGGGTATAATTTCAGCCTTCAATATGAACAATACATGCATATCTCATTTTACTGTGTTTTAGTGTATTGCGCTTCACAGATATTGCAATTTTTACAAATTGAAGGTTTGTAGCAACCCTACACTAATCAACTCTATCAACACCATTTTTCCAAAAGCATATGCTCACTTTGTGTCTCTGTTATCACATTTTGGTAATTCTGACAATATTTAAAACTTTCCTATGATTATTATATCTATTATGGTTATCTGTGATCAGTGATCTTTAATGTCACTATTTTAATTGTGTTAGGGTGCCACAAACCACAATCCATATAAGACAGCAAATTTAATCAATAAATATTGTGTATGTTCTGACTGCTTCACTGACCAGCTGTTCCTCAGACTCTCCCTGTCCTCAGGCCTCCCTATCCCTTGAAGTATAACAATATGGAAATTAACCCAACTCTACAATGGCCTATAAGTGTTCAAATGAAAGAGAAAGTCATGAGACTCACTTTACACCAAAAACTAGAAATGATGAAGCTTAGTGAGGAAGGCATGCCAAAAGCTGAGATAGGCTGAAAGTGAGGCCTCTTACACCAGTTAGCCAAGCTGTGAATGCAAAGAAAAAGTTCTTGAAGAAAATTAAAAGTGAACTCCAGTGAACACATAAATGATGAGAAAGTAAAATAGCTTTATTGCTGAAATGGAGAAAGTTTTAGTGGTCTAGAAGATCTAACCAGCTACAACATTCCCTTAAGCCAAATCCTAATCCAGAGCAAGGATCTAACTCTTTAATTCTGCGAAGGCTAGGAGACCAAAGGAGCTGCAGGAGAAAAACTGGAAGCTAGCAGAGGTTGGCTGATGAAGCTTAAGGAAAGAAGCCATCTCCATAACATAAAAGTGCAAGGTGAAGTAGCAGGACATGATGGAGAAGCTGCAGCAAGTTATCCAGAAAAATCTAGCTAAGATAACTGATGCAAGTGGCTATACTAGACAACAGATTTACAATGTAGATGAAACATACTTATAGTGGAAGAAGATGTCATCTAGGATTTTCATAGCTAAACAAGAAAAGTCAATGTCTCGCTTTAAAGCTTCAAAACAGGCTGACTCTCCTGTTAGGGGCTAATGCAGCTGGTGACTTTAAGTTGAAGCCAATGTCCATTTGTCATTCTTCAAATCCTAGGGCCCTTAAGAATTATACTATATCTATTCTGCCTGTGCTCTACAAATGGAAAAACAAAGCATGAATGACAGCACATCTGTTTATAGCATGGTTTACTAAATATTTTAAGCCTATAATTGAGACCTACTCCTCAGAAAAAAATTCCTTTCAAAACATCATTGCTCACTGGCAATGCACCTAGTCACCCAAGAGCTCTGATGGAGACGTACACAGAGATTCATGCTGTTTTCATGCCTGCCAATAACATCCACTCTGCAGCCTATGGCTCAAGGAATAATTTCGACTTTCAAGTCTTATTATTTAAAAAACACATTTTGTAAGGCTATCACTGCCATAGACAGTGATTCCTCTTGTGGATCTGGGCAAAGTCAATTGAAAATATTCTGACAGGATTCACCATTCTAAATGTCATTAAGAACATCCATGATTCACAGAAGGAGGTCAAAATATCAACAATAACAGGAGTTTGGAAGAAGATGATTCCAATCCACATACACAACTTTGAGGGTTCAAGACTTAGGTACAGGAAGTAAATGCAGATGTGGTAGAAATAGCAAAAGAACTAAAATTAGAAGCACAACCTCATGATGTGGCTGAAATGCTGCAATCTTATGATAAAACTTGAATGAATGAGGAGTTCTAATGGATGAGCAAAGAAAGTGGTTTTTTGAGAAGAAATCTGTTCTAGGTAAAGATGCTGTGTACATTGTTGAAATGACAAAAAAAAAAGCATGTAGAATTTTATATAAACTGGGTTGATAAAGCATTGGCAGGGTCTGAGAGGACTAACTCCAATTTTAAAAGAAGTTGTACTATGCGTAAAATGCTATCAAACAGCATCGCATACTACACAAAAACCTTTCATGAAAGGAAGATTCAATAGATGCACCAAACTTTATTATCATCTTATTTTAAGAAATTGCTACAGCCACCCCAGCCTTCAGCAACCAGCGCCCTGACCATTCGGCAGCCCTCAACACTGAGGCCAAGACCTTCCACCAGCAAAAAGATTCTGACACACTGAAGGCTCAGATGACTGTTAGCATTATTTAGCAATAAAGTATTTTTAAATTAAGCCATGTACATTGTTTTTTTAGTCATAATACCACTGCACACTTGCAATACAGTATAGTGTAAACACAAATTTTATATGTACTGGGAAACCATAAACTTATTAAGACTCACTTTAGGCCGGGTGCGGTGGCTCACGCCTGTAATCCTAGCTCTTGGGAGGCCGAGGCGGGCGGATTGCTCAAGGTCAGGAGTTCAAAACCAGCCTGAGCAAGAGCGAGACCCCGTCTCTACTATAAATAGAAAGAAATTAATTGGCCAACTGATATATATATAAAAAAATTAGCCGGGCATGGTGGTGCATGCCTGTAGTCCCAGCTACTCGGGAGGCTGAGGCAGAAGGATCGCTCGAGCCCAGGAGTTTGAGGTTGCTGTGAGCTAGGCTGACGCCACGGCACTCACTCTAGCCTGGACAACAAAGCGAGACTCTGTCTCAAAAAAAAAAAAAAAAAAGACTCACTTTATTGTGGTGGTCTGTAACCAAACCCACAATATCTCCAAGGTATGTCTGTCAATGCAACTTCAAATGCTTGTTAAATTAAAACTCAACCATATTTTATGAGTTTTATACTTACAAGTTTGAAGACAACTCTGCCAAGAAGTCGGACAGAGTCTGGAGGATATCTGGGTTTGCAGCTTTTAAGGCATTTGCATTCCCGCTTGTGGTGTTGCCAAGCTTTTTTCTGTTGAGACAAGAGTGGGGAAGACATGAAACATAAAATTTAACTTTCATTTATACTGGTTTTAAACACTGAGAGTCATCAACATTAATTTCAACAGTCTAAATATAACTGCAAAATAGAAAATGGAAGCAATATTCTAAATCTGTAAATGATCCGGGATTCAGTCTTTGCCAAGTATGCAATTACCAGGCACGGACATTAACAGTTTCAGCCTCACCTCCGTCCTTTAATTTGCACCCTGGTAATTACCTGGGTGGTGGAGTCCTAAGAAAGACCATCATGGCTTACTTACTAATGTATAAAATAGCCTTTTAACTGATTAAACAGGTTTCAATTATAGACAGTCATTCTGAATATAAAAAGAAAATATCACTCCCAATTAGAAAATGAAACACATGGTTCAGGAAAATCAAAATAGGAATGACAGTCTTCTGAATTTCTGCACTGCTACAAATACAGAAATATCAGGACCACTAACATATCCAAAAATATAAAAAGTTTTTGTCTTCAAAGAAAACATAGAAAGAGTTATTAGCTAAAATAATCAAATGTCCAGTTTGCTCAGCACTGTCTGGTGTATATCTACATTAATATTAATAGTGTTCCTTTTCACTCTGAGAAAAGTGTCTGGTTTGAATGATAAATTACATGGTCACTTAACCCATGATCCTAGCCATGTGTTGGTGTGGCTAAAGAGACCAATGAGTCAGTCACCAATCTAGAGATGAATGAATGAAAGGGAGGACCCTATTTCTGAGTCTACAATCAGAAATGCCACGGCTTCTTTGACATGGAATCATTTCCATACGGAAATGAAATTCAGAGTATCTAATACTTCACCCTGGTGAGTGGGAAACAGCTAGACCAAACATCTCATATGTTTTATTCTAAGACTTGGAATTTCCATCACTGAAATGCCTGATGCCCCTACTCACTCTTATTTAAAAATTATAAATTTGTTTCCCAAATTCTAGGCCTATAAAACCACCTGGGAGGATCTCTCTCATTTCCACTTGCAGTACAAACACACAGCTCAACCAAAAATTTCAAGAGTCTTAGCTACTTCAAAACTGTGACTCAGATTCAAGTTCAAGTCAGCATTTCACATGGAAAGACTGCCCAGGTCAAGTTGTTGGGTGACAGGTTGGTCTGTCTAATACTTGCTAGTCACACAAACTATGGAGACATTGTTTACAACAGTTGCATCACTTCTCCCATCAAATCTTCTCACAGTTGCCTCACTTCCACTATGGCAACCCTCTTAAAATGCTATATGTAACTTTTTGTAAAAATCATTTGTACTTCACTCACTTTTAAACAAGACTGAGCTGTTTCAAAGTAAAGATGTGTATGAAATAAGGCTATAAAAGTAGAAACAGAAAATGCTATCATTGTGGAGAGTAAAACAGGAAAGTCCTCTAGCAGTTACTTAGCATTCTACACCGTGCTAGACACAAGGCTAAGCAATTAACAAAGGACATTTCATTTGATTTTCACAATAATCCAAATGGTAGGTATCTGTCCTTATATTAAAAACAAAAAACTATGACTTAAGGGCTGGGATTTAGCTATTACACTGCCTAAACATAAAAAGGGGGAGTAAAAATCCTTAGTATGATAAACATGAAAGCTAAATAATTACCGTGTTTGTGCATTACATTTATTTGAGTTGCCTTACAGGCAAGGCAAAAAACAAAGCATAATGGCTTATATAATTATCACCTGACAGAAAAGAAAAACTCATAGAACCAACCAAATATTAAACCACAGGAGGACTTTATCCCAAAAATACTAATCAATACACTGGACAAGGGGTGGGGAACTTATGACCTTAAGGCCACATGTAGCCTTCTAGGTCTTTATGTGGCCTTTGACTAAATCCAAATTTTGTAGAACACATCATTTTATTTTTATTAATACATTTTTGTTCATCTTCTATATTTTTATTTTCTTTTTAAAATGAATGTATTTAAAATACCAAAGAATAAAATAAGTAAAATAATCCTCCCAGATTGACCAGCATAACTAGAACATAAGTAAGCTAAATTGATGGCTGCTATGCTCATGATTTAGTTCTAACTTCCCTCTGCCTGACTGGTACCACTATTGTACCAGGCTGGTTGGTAAGAGTTTACCAATCTTTTGTATACCAATCTTTTATCACCCTTTGACAAGGGTGTACTATGTTTCTATTTGAAGTGGAATTTGTGAATAGTTGCACAGCTTGGCAGTATTTTTTTCTATCTGTTTAATAGCCCATTATGTCAAAGAAGACAAAGAATACTGAAGGAAAAAAACAAATGTTTTTACTGAGGATTGGGAATTGCAATATTATCTTGTTTCTGCTAAAGATAAGATGATTTGCTTGCTTTGTGATACTAAAATATTAACATTAAAGAAATTCAATGCTCATCAGCATTATAATACTCATAAGGATCACAAATATTTTAGATTAGAGGGAGAGGTGCAAAAGGTTATATTGCAGGAGTTAAAAGATGAAAAGCCAAAGAATGACAATTCTTTCAAGCAGCAATAAGACGTGAAAATAGTGCCACTTATAAAGTAGCTTATATTCTTGAGAAAAAACAGAAGCCATTCAGTGATGTAGAAATTGTGAAAGTTATAGGAATTGTCGATGCTATAGGATGCTTAGACCCTGATAACATCTCAAAGTACAAACAACTGCCTCTTTCAATAACCATAACAGATCGGCAGCATGGATTAGCCTTCTAATTAGCAGAATAATTTTATGCAAAACTTCAAAAGGAAAATATACAGTATCCATTTGTTTTGGATGAATCCACTGATAGTACTGACTCAGTGCACAGGTTTTATACTTCATTTGGGTCATAACAGAAGATTTTCTTTGCTATGAAAAGTTACTTGCTTTGGGCACACTTAGGAACAGAACACAAGGAATAGGTATTTTCAACAACTTTCGAGATAAATGTCCTGAAGTTGGACTGAATTTGGTAAATTTAATGAACATATGTACACATGGTGCACCTTCCAGAACAGGAAAACATTAAAGGTTTATTGTACAGATTTTAAAAAAAGTATTAACAGATGCAGATGCTCTCATTTCTTTTCACTGTATCTTACATTAGCAAAATTTCTGTGCTAAAGCTACTATTTTAAGTGACATGTTGCAACAAGTTATAAGTACTATTAATTATATTCATGCAAATGCAACATGGCTGTCAGCTTTGTAACATGCTAAAGTTGAATGAGGAGGTATTCAGTGTGGATTTGCCATATCATACTAAAGTGTGTTGGCAGGCACAGGCATTAGCTAAAATTTTATCTCTGTGAGAACTGACAGTTAAATTTTATGAAGGGCAGAATCAGGAATGTGAATAATCGAATGAAGATTTCTATAGGAACGCAGCATTTCTGTGTGATATATCAAATAAAAAGTAACTTGAATATTTCTTTGCAAGGTAAAAGTAAGTCTATATATAATATGTGGCCAAAAAATCCAAGCATTAAAAAAAAAAGCTATCTTTTTTTTCAAAACATTTCTTCAGAAGGAAATTTCTGATGAACATTTTCCCAGTTAGCAAAAGTCACTGATGAGCAGGATGATATATGTGAATCATCTAAAGAATATGCAACTGTTGTGGATGGATTAATTGGAGAATATGATGAAAAATTCACTGACTTTAAGAATCATGATATCACACTCAAATTAGCATTTCAGCCTCACCTCACTGATATCACCTAAGCACCTAAAGAACTACAGATGGAAGTGACAGAACTCTCAGTAGATGACATTTTAAAGTCATTGTTTAATACTAAGAAGGATCCAGTTGAAATATGGAAAAATGCAGTGGAATACCAACACCTTCAGCAACATGCCCGAAAAATGTTTTTCTTGCTTTTCAACCACTTATTGTTGTGAATCCACACTCTCCTACCTAATCCAAATCAAGATACCCTTAGGTCACAAATGACTCATACCCATCTAGAGAATCAACTGAAACTGTGGACCTAAATGCTGGAACCAAATATTCAAATACTTTCCAACAAAAAGCAGACACAGCAAAGTCATTAAAAGGTTAGTTAACTTTAAAATTAACAAATAGTCTCTTGGCAGAATTTTGGGGGTTTTCTAGATATAAGATCATATCATCAACAAAGAGCAATAGTTTGACTTCATGCCCCCATTTAGATAACCTTGATTTCCTTCTCCTGTCTGACTACTCTGGCTAGGGCTTCCAGCACTATGTTGAATAGAAGGTGTGAAAGTGGGCAACCTTGTTGCCCAAGAAACTACTGGAATAATAAATAAATTCAGCAATGTCTCAGGTTACAAAATCAATGTATGCAAATCAGTAGCATTAATATATACCAACAACAGTCAAGCTGAGAACCAAATCAAAGACTCAAGACCTTTCACAATAGCAACAAAGAAAATAAAATACCTAGGAATATATTTAACTAAGGAGGTGAAAGACTCTTACAGGGAGAACTGTGAAACACTGAGGAAGGAAATAGCAAAGGACATAAACAGATGGAAAACCATACATGCTCATGGGTCAGCAGAATCAACACTGTGAAAATGTCTATACTACCCAACACTATGAAACTGTGAAATGTCTATACTACCCAAAGTGACCTACAGATTCAATACAATCCCTATTTAAATACCAACATCACTTTTTGCCCATCTAGAAAAAATAATCCTATTCTTCATATGGAATCAGAGAAGATCCTATATGGCCAAAGCAACCTTAAGCAAAAAGAACAAATCAAAAGGCATCAATTTACCAGACTTCAAGCTAAACTACAAGGCTATGGTAACTAAAACAGCATGGTATTGCCACAAGAACAGGGGCATAGATCAGTGGAACAGAACTGAGAACCCAAATATAAAACCATCCTCAAATAGCCATCTAATCTTTGACAAAACAGACAAAACCATACACTGGGGAAAGAATCCTTATTCAATAAATGGTTCTGGGAAAACTGGTTAGCCACATGTGGAAGACTGAAACAGG